CTCGATCTCCGAGACTCCGTCTTTCTTCTTGATCCATTTTTGTTGAGAGGCGTCCAGGGCTTGGCTAGCATACGCAATCACTCGGTGTCGGCCTCGTTGTTCTTGCATCAATACTGCCCCCAGGGCTACAGAATGGAGCATACGTCCACGAAGACCGTGAAAGGTAGTTCGAAGTCCGGGTAGGGAGGTTTGACATTCCGGGGACCATTCGAACTCGTCGGCCACATTAAGTTTTTCCAAGGGTCGAGATAGCAGGGCGTACCCCTTGATGAATCTCCGGAAGTAGCCGGCGAGTCCCAGGAAGGATCGGACTTGGGCCACGTTTTTCAGGGGTTTGATTCTCAGCACCGCTTTCACTTTTTCAGGGTTTGGTAGGATGCCTCCCGGGGTGATCGTGTGCCCCAGGAACCCGACCCTATCCCTTCCCCATTGGCACTTGGACGCTTTCAGTTTGAACCCGGCATCCTGGAGGCGCGTCAGGACTTGGGATATGCGCACTAGATGTTCGCCAAAGTCCTCGCTGAAGATGATGATGTCGTCTAGGTAGACCAAGCAGATGCGCCACAAGTATTCCTGGAGGACCCCTTCCATGAGCCTTTCGAATTGCGGCACCGCGTTGCACAGTCCGAAGGGCATGACTAGCCATTCGTACAGCCCGTACTTGCAGGTGAAGGCTGTCTTCTCGATGCTTTCTTCAGCCATCCGCACGTTCCAGTATCCCGATGCCACGTCCATGGTTGTGAAGAACTTGAATTTGCCCAGAACATCCAAGAGATCATCTACTCGAGGCATTGGGTAACAATCTTTGATCGTGACGTCGTTGAGCCGTCGGTAATCGATGCAGAACCGGATGGAACCGTCCGGCTTCCTGATCACGAGTACTGGGCTAGCCCACGGGCTTGTGGAATGTCGGATCAGTCCAAGCTCCAGGAGCTGTTTGATTTCTGCTTCCATGATCTCTCCCTCTCGTTGGGTCACTCGGAATGGTGCTTGTTTGATCGGGGTCGCATCCCCGGTGTTGATGTGGCATTTGGTCAGGTCAGTCCTTCCCGGGGCTTTTGATGTCGAGACGAAGAGGTCGAAGCGCAGGAGAAGTTTTCGGAGGAGTTCTTTCTGTTCGAGGCTCAGACTGGAGTCTTTCCAGTCAATTTGGATCTCTTCCTTGCCTGGTTTCGTACTTGTTTCCTGCGCTCCTGTGGATAGTGCGCAGAGTGTTTCCGCCTCCTGTGGAACCTCCCTCTCTCCCCCCCGCAGAGAAGTCGCGCTCCGGGGCGACGGGGTGGGCAACGTGTCCGACGCTGGCGTGTCCGTGTGGTTCCTGTAGTGGTCCGGGAGGTGGGTAACCACTCCGATGGCGTCGGTGGGGCGAATGACTAATTTCGTGTCCGAGTGGTTCCGCACCTGGACCCAGAAGCCTTCCTTCCGGACGATGTTGATCGAACGGGCGATATGTAAAGGGGACAACGAGGCAGTGGACTCTACCAATATAGGGCACCCTTCCGGGAGGTCTGACGAGATGTGGCATAAGACAAGCCTGCGGGAGTTGCTTTTGACATAGACCGTGGACGTGGGGTGGACAGTGGGCCAGTTGGTCGGCACGTTGTGTAGGGAGACCGAAGGCGCGGGTTCGTGAGCTTTCTGTTCCGGTGGTTCCCGCGGGTCCTCACGTTTGAGATGGGCTACCGTTCTTGGTGTCGTCTGGGCGTCGTCGGTGTGGAACGGTAGGGTGATGGGAGAATCCCCAAAGCCAACACAGTTGGTTGAGAGGTTGACGAGGGCCTTGAGTTTGCGCAACAGGTTAATCCCCAGAATGCACGGGCTGACGGAGTCGACCAGTACCCATACCGGGAAGGTTGTTTGTTTTTACGCTAGAGTGATGCTGAGGTACCGGAGGCCCAGCGTTCGTATAGGCGTGTTGGATGCCGAGACCAACCCATACACCGGTTTTTGGAGAGGAGGGCTCCCGAGTTCGTTCCAGAACGCCTCGCTAATTACCGTCACGGAAGCTCCTGTATCCACTAACGCAAGCGTGTCGGCCGTTTGGATGCGGACCTGAACCAACGGGGCGTTTGGATTGGAACCCACTTGGCACACCTTTTGGTCTGGTCGAGGGGATGGTGCCACCATTGAAAGGAGCTCGTCATCTTTTAGGCCCAGGAACGGCAATTCGACCGTCGGGGACTCGAGGGGATTGTTTGAGTCAACGGCACCCGGGGAGAGAGACTCCGGGGTTTGCGACCGGCCGTCAGGGGTGGCGAGGGTGCTTTCAATATGATGGCCTCCGAGGGCGAGGTCCAGGTAGTGGCGCCGAGATGAGAGCGTCCTGCGACAGATGCGCCAGATGGCCGAGGGTAGTCGTGTGAGTTCCAGGTCCCTTAATGGTAGGGTGAAAGAGGCCCTGTCGTCGGTTAAGTGGTACTGTACGGCTCCGTGGACTTTGACCAGTTGCTGAGCAGGTAGACGGGGAATTTTAGTACCGCCGATAGGTAGGACGACACCCTCGGGTGGCGTGCAATCGGTTTCAGGGATGGGTCCAACACCGGGTAGCTCGATTGAGGCCAGGTTTTTTCGCTGGAAACGTGACCACCGCGTGTCGGAAATGATTGCCACTCGTGCGTTTTCGAAGTTGCGGTTAGCCGTCCGGGCCTCGTCGCATGTTTTCAGGGTGCTGGAGAACCAGTCGAGCCAGCGATCGGGATCGTCGATGTTCGAAGGTGACTCGAACAAATGCGCGTCGTCCCGTGTCAATGGCCGGCGAAGGGCCATTGTAACCACCTTGACAATATCCTCTTGAGTGACATCCTTTCGTTCTTGTTTGAGTCGGACGAGCTGACGTTCCAGGTCGGCTGGTGAGACAGGGTACAGGCGCTCCTCGATATCGACGTGCCGAGCCTCGGGGATGCCCGTTAGGTCGCCCCGCATGATTGCTTCGATTTGGGCTTCCGTAAAGACGGGAGTCACCCTGGGAGAAGGCCCAGTTTCGTAACCAGGGGTGGCTGTCAGGTTCGTGGGCTCCCCTGTCTTTGCCGAACACGGTCCAAGCGTGGCGGGAGGTCAAAGCTTCTTTGACCCCCGGTTTTTGAAGCTCTGAATCCCAGGGGTAGTTGCAGTAGTCGTGGCCTGCGAAGTGGCTGTTTTCGGGGAGCGCACGTCGGCCTTTAGACCGGGAGGCCGGGTGTCAGCCTTCGCGTTCGTAAGGGGCGGGGGGATCGTAGCGCCTTTAAAGCTTGCTGGGTCACCCGCTTGCAAGCGCGGTGATTTGGTGTTGGTGTAAGTTTCATTTGGTTGTTGTGTTATACTTGCCTGCAGGGTCGCGTCCAGAGGGAGCCCTGGAGTATTGCGTGCTTCATCGGTCAGGTATTCGATTCGTCTGATGCCGAGAGCTTGGTCGTCATAGTTAGTAGGGGACTTGTCTCGTCCGGTCTTAATGGTCATGTCATCTACGGAGTTTGGATCTCTTCTGGTCATAAGGCACTCCTGGTCTTGTAGTCTTGTTTTAGAAGCACCCTCGTCAGGGTCTTCGTTGCTCCCTTCCATGGTTCGGGTAGCTGCCGAAGTTCCGTGTAATGGTGGCATCATAGTCTTGGTTGTGGCTGTGGGCGTAACTCTGGGTTTGTTGTTCCCGGGGCTGCTGCTCACAGCCTTGGTAAGTGTCAGTTTCTTCTTGTCAGTATCGGGAGTCATTTTAGGAGTCACTTTTGACGCCACTCCCGGCGGCTTGGTGTCGACTCCGACGGCCTCATTGTAGTTCGTCCTCGAAGTCGTCGTCGCCTCCGTCGGTCACATTCCCGGGGTCGAAAATGTCGGTCAAGGCTGCGATGACTTTAGGGTTGAACTTCCCTTTGTTGAGGGGGCAGGCGAAGCTGAAATGTCCGGGTTTTCCACAGGTATGGCAGTCGTTATTTCCTCGGCGGCCATTCCCATAACTGCCAGCCCGAGGTCGGCCGCCGCTAGGAATTCTGGCCCCGTCCTGTCGTGGGATTCCGCATTCCGCATTGGCGTGACCCTCGGTTCGACAGCGAGAGTAGTAGTACTTGAGCCGGGGACATCTGTCCCGGCTATGACCCTTCGTGCTGCAGCGCCCACAAATCACTTCCCCATTCTTCGTTTCATCGTCTGGGGAGTTACTAATTTTGGGTTGTACTGGGTTATTCGCCCCTGGGGTTTGCTCATGGGCCATCTGGGCAACAACGTTATGGAAAGCCGAGATTTGGTCCTGCTGACGAGCGTTCTGTTTGGCCGCCATCGCCGTCATTTCACGCTTCATCTTGGATACCGTGGCTTGAAGCTCCTGGACTTCGTTGGTCGGGATCGCAGGGGCTTTGGCCGAGCCCCGGGGAGCGCGCCCAGGGGTTCCCAGAGAGATCATGGCTGTCTTGGGGTTGCCTTCAAATGGTTTCTCGAGATTGACATCCTTCTCTTTCAAGTATTTCAGGCTCGCTTCGATGGTTGTAGGGAGTGTCGGGGCCCCCCGGAGGCAGCTGGCCACGATGGGGTCTTCACATTCGTTGAGCAAAATGAACACGGCACTTTCCGGCGGGAAATTCGCGTTTCGAATGTTGTCGCCGATGCGGCAGGCGTACTTGTTAACCGTCTCCCCAGTTCGGCGGTACGAGTCCGCGGTAATGGTCGCCATTCGCTCCGTCATCGTTTTCATGATGAATTCATGCCTGAAAGCCTCCCGGGACTCAGCCCAGGACTGTTCAGCATGATCCCGGACTCGTCGGCCCCACCAGTCGGCAAAACGAGGAATACCGGATTCGTTGAGGCGGTCGTCGAAGATTCCTACCAGTTGGGCGTCCGTGATTCCGTAGTCCAATTGTAACGTGTCGAACTTCTTCAGGAAGTGTTCCAAAGGGATGGCGCTATCCACTCGTTTCAGTTTGGGGGCGTATTTTCGTGCATCAGCATAAGCAGAACGGGAAGGACGACCCCCATGGTCATCGTGCCGGGGCACGTATGGAAACCTTGGTGCGCCTCCACCCCCATGGTCATCGCCGCCACCTCCAGGTCCACCTCCCCCAGGAGGTCCGGGGGGGTTTCCTCGGCCTCCAGAGTGTTCGAAAGGGTTGTGTCCCCCGGGCCCCCCTGGAGCTGGGTATGTCGACGGAGGGCCGGGAGGGTTGCCGGATCCTCCACCGAATACACCGCCGCGGTCTCCGTGGGCCGGTGTGAAGTAAGGTGGGCTGGGGTTACTGTGTCCACGCATCCCGTACGAGTCCTGGGGTATGTACTCGGGGGGTTCTCGTTGCCTTGGTCGTTCGGGAATGAACGGCTTTTGGGAAGTCACAGCACAGCCGTAGACGCCTGCCGGCACCGGCATCGACATGGTTTCCGTAGCAACCTCGGTTTGTTGCATAAACACCGGGATAGGGTCCATTCTCCACCCGCCATTGAGTAGGGGGCCTGGAGTACTGACGACGTCATGAAAGTCGAAAGACTCCCCTTCGAAGGGGAACCTTTCCGGGACGAGGCGGGTGTCGCGTAGGGAGTCCCGACCGAACCGGATCTGAGTCGGCCTTCCTGAAGTTGCAAGGCCAACATTTGCTGATCCACTTGTAAGGAAGACTGTTGCCGACGGAGGTTCGAGTAAGACTTGTTGACTTCCTGAGCGAAAGCTTCCCGTTCTCTGAGGAGGGTTTTCTCTTCTTCCCGCAGGAGGGTCGTGTTTAGCTCCAATTGTGTCTGAGCGTCGGACACCTTTTGTAAGATTGCTTCGTGTTCTTCCCGCGACTTCATGAGCTCCTCTCTTTCTTGAGTTACCACCCGCCGTTCCTCCGAGTCACGATCCAACGTT